TATTGATTTCTTTGTAGATCCTCTTAATATTAGAATCAGATATTTGGATTTGGAGGAACAGAAACAGCTACGTATAAGCTGAGCCGTTCATCCTTCGGACAAGCTCTACTTGATATTTTTCTCGAACTGAATAGTCGTGAGTCGAGATGGTTATCTTTAGCCTTACAGTATTTTCACATATTTCCTTATAATTTTGGTCTTAACATTTATTATTTTATGTGTTGACATACCTATTAATTTCAATATTTTCAATTATTTCTGCAGGTGGGATTAAAATCGTAAAGGAAGGATCAAAAGATCAATCGCCTTCACACCCTAGACTTGACAAAAGAGAAATTGCTGTTATAACGGAGGAGATGCAAACAAAAATAGAGAAACTTCAAGATGACATAAATAGCATAAAGCATCAAGATGAAGTGTCAGCTAAGTGTGCCAATGGATTACATTCCCTTGAGTTCTTAGATAAGGCTATCAAGAGTTCAATGCCTACAAAATGTTCCACTTCTATAATTTTTATGTGATTTGCAACTGCACCTGTATAATGCATGTATTAATATCTATATAAAAGTTTATTAACGTTATGCTCTGTGCTTCTTTCTAAAACTGTATACTCTCTCAAGTGTTTGGTGGCTTAACACAAACATCATATTAGTATTTATTTGTTCGACGTATCTCAAGAATTAAGGATAACTAAAAATTCTGGTACTATCATTTTTCGATATCCAAATTATATCATAAATAAAGTTCCCTTAGCAATGCAATCATTATATCAAACCTTATTTCCCCTCTCGCATAAAATTTAAACGAGAGGTACAAATAACTGAGAATGAACATATATTATTTTTTCCCCGTAATTAACTTACTTTCATAGTACCACCAACTCAATATTTGTAGGTACTAGGTACTCTACCTTCAAGGAGCTTAGCAGAATTTCTTGACATTTGCTCATTTTCAATTTTCGAANTATATATATATATATATATATATATATATATATATATATATATATATATATATATATATATATATATATGGCAAGTTTTTCTTTAGCCTGACACATGGTAAACACACATTCCAAAGCAATAAAAGTTTATTTTTGTCTTCTAGCTATTGTTCAAGGCATTACTCATTTGTTCTCTTCCTCGCTCACGACCGAGCTCGTACCGAGGGTCCAACCGAGGGCGAGTTCCACTGTTCACCACTAACATTAGGCTTGGTCATTACATTGTGCTTGGTTTGATCGTTTATTTTGTCGTTTATCTGTTATTCTCATTTATTCGTATTGAGTTGAACTACGTATCCTTTAAACCACGTACAAGTTTAATTGTTACTCATTTTTGGGGTAAACAGTTTGGCGCCCACCGTGGGACTAAGGGTAGGGGTGTACAAACCGAACCGGAAAACCGCACCAAGCCGATTAAAAAATCCGACTAAGTTTGGTTTGATTTGGTTTGGTATTGAGTTAAAAACCCGAACCAAACCGACATATAAATATATAATTTTTATATATGCTTTTAAGACTTTATATAGAATTTTCTTTAAAAGATGTCTAGAAATATTTGGAATTATCTTGCGGGATATAATATTTAATAGTATATGAAGTGCTCCATATTTATTAACCTTAAATAATGGATTGTTACTGAAATGCGTCAATCTCTTTGTTCTTCCATATTCATATCATATGTTAAAATCTTTATCTTTTTCGAATGTGAAGTGATTATTAATATTTAGGTATCATATTGATTTTATGTTTAATTACTAAATTCGATTAACCTTGAAAGTGTACATCAACGAAACATTATTGTCATACAACTAAAAAAATAACTATTATGTGTTACTAAGAAAATTCTCTCATAATAATATTTTAATAGATAATATATTTGTCAATTTTTATATTTTTACTAAACATATAATTACTTATCAAAAATTTAAGAAAGTAAGATTAAAATAATATTTAAGTAACAAATTAAAAACCCGAAAAATCCAACAAAATCGAATCAATTGAAACCGATATAGTTGGTTTGGTTTGGTTTTGATAAAAACCAAACCAACCCGGTCCATGTACACCCCTAACTAAGGGTATTAGTGGTAATTTGATATGGATCTTCATAACACACTCTATTTTATGCTTGTTCTTTGAAATCTTAGTTCCAGGTCGGCCTAAGAATGTCAAACTCTCAGTCCGCTCACTTGAACGTTGACGCCGAGTCAGGCCATCACGGCGAAAATAATAATATGGTGCCAAATAATGATGCCCTCTTGCCCATCCCAATGGTGCCCCAGCCGCCGACCCGGTCGATGCTAATTTGCAGGTGACCATCAATTTCAATATACCAACTGATACCGAAATAGTGTTCGCGGGGGACCTCGGCCAGCGGCCCGAGAAGCGCTAGAAGGTGAAGGTGATTGGGTAAGCCTACGATTGATTTTTGAAATGTTGTAGGCTCAATAAGCAACAATAGCACAGCTGCATAGCCAAAGCCATGCCCCTCACTAGGTCGAGCCTGAATAATCTCGGGTAAATACTTGGAGAGGAGAATAAGGCAGCGTGAGACCGGGTGAAGCCAGAGTCCGGAGAAACTTCTGAGGTAATGAAGATGCTCAAGGCATTAACAAAACGGGTGGAGTCAGGCGAGAAAAAGATTGAGGCCAACGACAAGAAGGTGGAAACGTACAACTCCAGGGTTGATCAAATCTCAGGAGCACCTCCGATATTGAAGGGATCGGACTCCAAATTTTTTATCCAGAAGCCCTTTCCCCCAAGCGCGGCACCGAAGTCGATCGCGTAGAGGTTTTGAATGACCGACATTCCCAAGTGTAATAGGACCACGGAGCCAAATGTGCATGTAACCTCATATACATGCGCAATCAAAGGGAACGACTTGGAAGATGAATAAATTGAGTTGGTGTTACTAGAAAAGTTTGGGGAAACTTTGTCCAAGGGGGGCGATGATATGGTACCATGACTTGCCTCCAATCTCCATTGACTAGTTTGTTGTGCTTGCAAATGTTTTCCTAAAAACCCATACTTGAGCCATCAAGATCGAGACCAGAAAGTTAGACCTTTTCAAAGTCAAACAAAGGGATAATGAGATGCTCAGGGAGTTCGTGTCAAGATTCCAAATGGAAGGGATGGATCTGCCACTAGTTGCGGATGATTGGGTCATTCAGGCAATCACTCAAGGGCTCAACCCCCGAAGCTCTGTGGCCTCTCAACAGCTAAAACAAAATTTTGTGGAGCACCCGGCGGTAACCTGGGCCGATGTCTCCAACAGGTACCAATCGAAGAACAGGGCCGAAGACGACCAACTCGCGCCCCTTCTAGATCTGTTTACCCCATCAGAGTGTATGATAGATCTAAGAGGGTCATTGATTAGGATCCAAGGCTGGTCCAAGATTAGTATCAGCCATACAACGAGGATTGGAGGGGAAACAAATCTAGGCGTCATCCAACTGAGAATGAGAAGAGAAGTGACCGAGGGCCGAGCGGCTAGGGCCTATGAGCAAGAGCGGTTTTGACAGGTCGCTCGGGAGTAGGGAAACACCAAGATTATCATAGTACAATTTCAATGTGGACACTGCAAGCATCGTGCCGGCCATAGGGCGTATCAAAGAGACCAAGTGGCCCCGACCATTACAGTTTGACCCTTCCTAGAGAGATCCTAATTTAATGTGTAAGTATCATGGCACTCACGGTCATAGGACCGAAGATTGCAGGCAGTTAAGAGAAAAAGTTTCTCGGTTGTTCAACAATGGGCACCTCCGATAATTCCTAAGCGAGCAAGCCAAAAACTACTTCAAAAACAAGGACGCCAATAAACAGGTCGAACAAGAGTAGCCTCGGCACGTGATCAACAAGATCATTGGGGGAGTCAATGTCCCCCAAGGGCCAATGATGAAGCGCATTAAAGTGTCTATTACAAGGGAAAAGCGTACCTGGGATTACGTTCCGGAATGATCTATCTCGTTCAGCGACGAAGATGCCGAGGGCATCGTGCAACCTCACAACGATGCACTAGTAATATATGTACTTATCAATAAATCTCGAGTTAAACGTCTGTTGATTGATCCAGGTAGCTCGGCCAACATCATCAAATCGAGTGTCGTAGAGTAACTAGGTTAAAGGATCAAATCATACCGGTGATCTGTGTATTGAATGGGTTTAACATGGCGTGTGAGACCACGAATGGAGAGTAACTTTGCTGGTAAACAATGCCGGGACAACCCAAGAAACGAAGTTCTACGTGATCGAAAGGGAAGGTACAACACTTTGTTCAGAAGGCCATGGATCCACAACATGTGGGCGGTACCCTCGACCTTCACCAGGCGCTAAAATTTCCGACTCCGGGGGGAGTCGAAACAGTCTACGTTGAACAACCTGCCACAAGGGAGATATTTGTTATTAATGAAGTAATCCTGGTGCCCGCGGTCTCAATACCGAAAAGTGCATAACTGACCAAAAATAGAAGAAAATAAATAGCAATCAATGGTACCGGCTTCAGCCGAACCGGAGAAACAGGAAGAACAAGGAGCAGATAATGGGGACGACTACAATGTTCCGAGATGTTTCATAGTGCCCGATGACACCGACGCCACCAAATCAACGGTCTAGGAGTTGGGGCAAGTTATATTAATTAAGCATCTACCAGATCGAAAGGTATACCTGGGCAAGAGGTTATCCCCCAAGGTCAGGAAAAAACTTATTGATTTTCTTAAAGCTAATGCCGATTGTTTTGCCTGGTCCCTTCTAGACATGACAGGGATCCCATGGGAGGTAACCACTCACAGAGTTTGGATCCGAAACTCAATCCGGTCAAGCAGAAGAGAAGTCCACAGTCCGAGATCAAACACACGTTCATCAAGGATGAGGTATCCAAACTTCTAAAAATAGGCTCCATCTAGGAGGTTAAATATCCGGATTGGTTAGCTAACGTAGTGGTAGTACCTAAATGGAAATAAACTGAGGATTTGTGTAGATTATAAGGACTTGAACAAGGCATGTCCAAAGGATTATTTTCCTTTGCCTAACATCGGTCGACTGAATGATGTGATGGCCGGACACGAGATACTCAGTTTTCTCGACGCCTATTCCGAGTACAACAAAATTCGGATGGATTCGGGTGACCAAGAAAAGACCTTTTTCATAACAAATTTTGGCACTTACTGCTATAACGTAATGCCGTTTGGATTAAAAATGTTGGTGCCACATACCAACGCCTAGTAAACTAGATGTACGAAGAACAAATAGGAAATCAATGGAAGTTTATATTGAAGATATGTTGGTCATGTCCCTCCGAGTAGAGGACCATTTGAAACATTTGCAGGAAACCTTTGACATATTAAGGAAGTATAACATGAAGCTAAACCCGGAGAAGTGTGCATTTGGGGTCGGTTAGGGAAAGTTTCTCGGGTTCATGGTGTCTAATCGTGGGATATAAATTAACCCCAATAAAATAAAGGCCACAGAGGACATCACCGTAGTCGAAGACGTCAAGGCGGTTCAAAGGTTGACCGGGTGGATAGTCGCATTGGGCCGGTTCATCTCGAGATTGTCAGATAAGAGCCATCGGTTCTTCTCACTACTGAAAAAGAGAACAATTTTT